AAATTAGTCTTAAAAAATATATTAATATACAAATGAAAGTGATTTTCTAGCTGCTATACTCGATTTACTTGTTCAATTACTTTTAATTCGTGTTAATTATAGTTAATTAGAAGCTGATGAAATTCGTTGCATTTCTAATCGTTTCGTTTATTTTTAAATAGTATTTTATTTATTGTATTGCTGAATTTCTTGTTATGTTATCACATGATACACTTCATTCAAAACGAGTTATTAAAATACAAGATTTAATAAAACATTATGATTCATTATTAGCAAGTAGACATGAATCTGAAACACATGATAGGAAGTAAAAAAAAACATTTTCGAGAAAAAGAAATTATCGTTAAAATTCTTTATTTAGCTTTGGCAGCATTAGAACCAGTTTTATATGATTTTTTTTCTTGTTCGAGTTATGCAAATAATTAAAATTCCTAAAACGTTTTATTAAATGAGAGTGAAGAAAACGGTGTCCTTCTATAAAGTCTCCAATATCTTAGAAACTCGAGAGGGTGTGAGTGTGGGTGTGTAGATGTAATTTTTCTCCTTGATTGAACCCACACCCACACTTCAACGAATCGATGATCTGAAAATAATCATCTTGTTGTTATGTATCTGAGTTTGAGGGAAAACTAGGCATCTTAATTATTATAAATAAGAGTATCTTTTCATATCATGTGTATGTACTGAAAAAATAATAATAGAATTTATATTGTTATAGGCTTTACGATTGTTCACAGTTATTATTGATAGTGTTCGAAATGAAGATGATAAATGAAAACGTCTTTCACGACAAATTGTCGATTTACTTCTTGCTCATTTACAATCTCAGGTTATTTTTCTTTTAATAGTCTCTGATTTTACGTTACTTTTTTTTGTTCAAATAGAATCAATCACTTTTGGATATTTATTCCACACAATTAACACTATTTGATGTTGCTTTTCGAGCGTTAGTAAATAGAAATGTCCGTTGTTTTTATTTATAAAATTTTTCTGTAGTTTACAATTTTTTAGAATGTCAATTGTCAATCTACAAATCGATAGTTAATCAATATATATATATAATACTTCGATGTCTTGTACAAAATTTAACTGAAGATGCTATATTAACACGATAGAATGATGTTTTATTATCAGTTCATGGAACACGAGATGAAACTTTTAGTGCGTAAGTATTTGAAATGATTTTATTTATAATTTAAAAACTATTATTCTCGTTTTTGTTTTCAGAACTCTTCTTCGTGTTTTACATGACGTAATATTACGAATTTTAACTAATACTTGACAATTATGTGGTCAAATCAATATGACATTAGTTTCTCTTGCATCCGATTATCTTTATGTACATATCACCCATTAATTTGAAGATAAAACTTTCCTGCAATTCATTAATTACTAATGACCTAGCGAAAAACATTTGACTTTAAAATTCCTATGCTTATATACGATCTATAATTTTATTTTGGCTAAACAATTTCGAATAATTGTAAATGATTTTCATCAATTATGAATTCATGATGAAACTGTACATCGGCTTGAGACATTTTCATTTTTAGTTATTTTAAGTGAACGTTTTAAATTATTATGATCATCATTTTATATCTCATTATTATTACAATGGATACATATTCTGAATATGCTTGATTATACACAAGAAGCATGCTGGTCACCGACATTAACGCCATCATCAAGAATACATTTATCTATCAGTGGTCAATTACAATCTTATTGTGATTTAATATATCATCATAAATTATATGTTGAACTTTTTACATCAATAACAACACATTATCAATTATTATTATTATTTTTTATTTGATCTTATACATCATACATCAGTTGGAAGTCATTTATTCGTTTCTGAAGGAATACATTTATATGAAAGTGGTCTTATATTAGTTTTATTAATTGAACAATTTCTTCCATTACCATTAAATAAACAATTATTACCTAAATATATACCATAAATTTTACAAATATTATCAATAACAATATCAAACGATATTATTAAAGAAGATTTTAATAATCTTAATTGTCATATGAATATAACAAGAAAAATTTATGAACAAATGCTTAAAAATATAACTTATAAAAAATGATTACCATTTATGATGTCACCGGTATATTTTAGTTTAGTTTATCAAAATAAATAAATATATGTGTATAATAAAAATTTTAATCCAATTAAAAGAAATTTTTTTGTTTTTACTTTGACATTGTTTATGTGCTAGTAATAGATGAGACTTTTGAATAATTCAAAACTTCGAAAAATATTTTGAAATAGAAAATATGCAGAATTTCAGGTAATACAAATCGTAAAGGAAAGCATTTAAGCTACATTAGTACAATGACCGAATAATTTCTCTCGAATCTTATTGATCAAATTCTCAGTCGTGCTATTTGTACTATTACAATTAAAGAAAACGACGTCTTTCTAATATTATATTTCGAAATAAATTGCATTCGAGAATTTCGATAAACTCTCTATAAGTTTGAACTCGTGAACTCTGAAAACGTATTGAATTTTTCCACAGCATTAAATTTTTAGGATGATTCTTATAGTAAATGAAAATTGATTTGAGAAAATAAGAAACAATATAATTCTGTTCTTTGTTTGTTTTCCTAGGATTTTGTATAGTTATATCAAATGAAACAAATTAAAATGACATTGAAACAACACCTAATACAATTTATGAAAAAAAGTCTTTTATCATGCTTCTAATAATCAACCATATTCAATTGCATTCATAGATTCTATATCAATATATTTTGATAAAATACAAAATCATGTTGAATTAACATGTCAATTTTCAACAGGTGATATACAAGATTTATTACGTTTTATAATATTTATATCAGAAATAATTTATATAAATATATTTCAAAAAAAAAAACATCATTTCTTAGTTGTGAAACAGATCAAATAATATCATGTTGTATGTTACCGAAAATACTATTATCAATATTTGAATATATTTATCAACGACATGGTTTAACTATATCAAATATATTATAATCATATTTAAATTTAATTGAACCAGATAAAAGATCATCTTTGTTATTTAACAAAAAGAAAAATTAAATATACACGTATATATCATATATTTATTGACATGATTTACATTCTATAGCTATATTATTATTTTTTTTTACCAATATTTATATAAAGACAATTTTGAAGTTGGTTGATTATTAAGAATACAATTTCAAGAAATATAGGCTTCATTTTTAGCTTCAATTAATTCACCACAAATCAATCTAATGATGAAAATAAACAAACAACAAATAATTGTACAAAAAAAAGAAGAAACTTTAGAAACAAATGCAACACAATGGTAACAAGATTGAAAAATAAACTAGATTTTATCTGTTTTGTTTTTATCAATATTAGATACAAGTTCAAATAATTTATTTACAAATATTGAACGGTTAGGTACACGTGATTTATTATCCTATGGACAACTTTCACATGATACTATATTAACATCAATCCAAAGTAATAATACATTACCATTATCAGTTAATGTAAGTCTCACAAAGTTAAGAGAAAGATAAATTTATTGCTAAATTATTAATTTCATCAAACAGAAAATCTAGTGTTTCTCTGACGTTGATTTGATATATAATACATGCAAACTATCTTATTTCATAGAGATAAAAGCTTATATCAATAATTTCAAATATATTCTATCAATCAAAAAATTAGATTATGAACATTTTCTTTTCTGGCATCCATCTTTAAAAATATATAATTTAGAGTTTATTTGATTGCTTATTTTTTTCATCATGGTTTTGATTTAACATTATCATTACAAATTCTAATTGAAATATATGTAATATAAATTAATAGGTTCAATTATATATCTATCTGATTTATTTGTACATGGTTTGATGAAGATGATTTAATAATATCCTTAACAAGTTATAATGTATGTAAATCTAGTATATTACTTGAACAAAGAACAAAAGAATATAATGAATTATATCTACGTTTAATTGAACGTAATTATAAATCAATAACTAAAACTCATGCATATGCATCATGTTTATTCATGAAGTTGATTTAAATTCATATGATATTTGATTATCATTAATTAAAGATGATAATTTAACACAAAAAATTATATCAATTAGTCTTGAAAAACTTTTAATAGTTGGTCAATATCCCAAAAATAATATATGGTGTTAATACTTACACGTATTTATACATTATTACAACGACCAAATAAAAATACAAATCCATTAAATAATGAACATGTTAATAAAGAACAAACAATAATTGATAGTTCATCAATAATATCATCATCAGATAATATTCTTATTGAACTTGTTGAAGAATTATATGCACGTACTAAACAATCATCAACATTACCATATGAAGCTTTACTTTTATTACGTCCTTCATCATTATTACTTGAACACATTAGTTTTTTTTCGTGCTTTAATTAATGCACGTTATTCAGCTAAAGTTAATGAATGGACTTTATTATCAATGACAAATATTGCACAAAGAAAAATCACTATGTATGGCTATATGGGAGTTAACTTGTCTTATGTTAAGTGCATGTCTATCACAACGTGTGGGTGTGGATGAAGACAAGACCTATAATGATATCCACACCCACACCATCTTATGAGTAAAATTCTGCCTATGGTTAAATATTCTTCCTAGTTTTCTTTTTAAAAATTATCAAGACTTACACATACAATTAAAATTTATTTGGAAAAGATAAATAGTAAAACATTAATGAAAAACAAAAACTCTTTATTTCAATCCGAAGGAATGACGATCAATACAAAATCAATAAATTTCGCCATGAAATGTCAAAATGAATTTTCATTGATAATATTGTATATCTTTTACTTTTTTAAGTTTTTATTGATGTTATCACGTTTCAGTGTTCGTTTCGAAGAATCAGACAATCGTTTATTTCTTATTGCTGATCGAAAATAGTCTCTGCAAATATCAATTATATCAACAAAAAAACAAATCTATTTTATTTATTTTAGTTAACGAATATTGAACATTGACGTCAATTTGAACAAGCATTCATAAATGAATCGAATCCAGAAAAATTATATGCTGATTTACTTGAACACATTCAAAATACGGTGTGGATGTAGATGTTGTTTGGATATGTTGATGAATCATATACTCTCTCTCTCTGTCATCCATACCCACACCCTCAATAAAGACTAAAGATATTGATTCATAAAATGGAAACATAACAACAAGAATTAATTTATCTACTTTTTTTTCTTTTTACTAGAATCGGTCTCTACTATCCCAGGTCGAGACGAACGGATGAAGAACGTGTTCCGAACATCGAACGATCCCGTTCCGAACGAGTAGATCGGAACGTGTTCGCTCGTTCCGAACGCGTTTTCTAACCGTTTCGAACGCGTTCTCTATATCGTTGTTGTCATCATGAATGCTCATTCTGATTGGGTTATAGATATACCACTTGGTTTCTATTTCTGATACAAAGGTGTCGCTTCTTGCTTTGAAGCTTTCACTTTTATTGTGACAGAAAACAAATCAAAACAATGTTCAAGTTAACAACATAATTTTCATAGAAAAAGTTCCACTAATGAAATGAAGCAGAAAATATACATGTGAAAGATTAAGAGAAAACGAGAACAATGAAAGACAAGGTTCACGACAAAAAAAAAGTTTCACAGTCATTATGTTTCACAAAAAACTATCACAATTTTCAACATGTGATTGAATAAGAAAATAAAAGAGAAAAAGTGCACGAAATGATAAAAACAATCAATTAAGTTTTGCTCTTCAAGCTGTTATACATTAACTTCCGGTGTAAAAAAACAAGTAAAAGTATCTGAACTCCATTCATAAAAAAAGACTCACAATCATTTGTTTCGAAATATAACTCCTCTTCGCTGATTTTCACGAATGATTTTACCTTCAAAATCCCAAAAACCAGCAACTTGAATATCATCATTTTGGAAAAAATATACTTTGACAGCTCCTAAAACAGTTAAACAGATACAATGAAAACGACGAAGCAATACGTAGTACTCACTTTTAATTTTTTCTGTTCGTTCATTGACATTTTCGTGCTCTCGAGCCATTATTTCTTCTTTTGTAAATAAGTCATTAATCAGACTTTTCATTAAATGAGCCGGTGTCGGACCTATCGGACGCGAAAATAAATTTCGACCGCCATGTTCCTAAAAGAACAAGATTTACTAAATATAAATAAAGAAGAACTTACAATAACAGGAAGTTCACGAGGTGGTTCACTAGGTGTTGGATTCTAAAAATAAAATTTTAGGTTTTTAGTGTGTCAGGATGTGTCGGTTTTAATCAACAGCTTTTGAATATGTAGTATATACAAATAACTGTTCTCATATATTTACAAAATATTAAAAAGGCAGAAAAGGTCAGTACTTATGTACTTTTAGTCGCATTTTTATTATATCTTTGATCATTGAATTTAAATTCAATTATTATTTATTCGTATTTTATCATACCAATCTTCTTTTCAAATTACGAACATATTTATTTTGGTGATTTTTTTGTCAAAAAGATATCGAAAAAGAAAGCCTTAACAAAAATAAATAAAATTACCTTGTTCACTTTACGAGACAAGCCACTAAGAGATTTTTCCACATTTTCGAACTTTTTTTCAAAAACAATTTCTCGCTGATTCATAATGTCGATCTTTCGATTCATTTCATTCAACATATTCTGGAAGCCATTCAGTACTTCTGTAAAAGGATCATGAGAAGGAGATGTCACTTGGTCTTGAATACGTTTCCGTTTTAATTGAGGAGTATAATAAGTACCTTAACAAAGAAAATGTTTTCATAACTAACAAATTAGAACTTACTAGTATTTTTGTTGTAATTCGATTGGTGAGCAGATGATTGACGTTGTTGACTGTTAAATGTAACATTATGAATCATCGGAAAATCTGTAATAAATTAAATACAATATATAAACATGTCTGTTTGATAAATGTTACTTACTTCCATCCAATTCATTTTCATCTATTTCACAATCGTCCATATCATCATCAAATGTACGTTGAGTATTTGATATACCAGGTGAAATTTTTCGTATTCTACCAGGTGTCATGGAACCAGTATACTTTGCGGACATTGTTAATCTGAAAAAGAAATATGGTACAAAGCTCATCTGGATAAATTTAAATCATATAGTTACTCGTATTGGACCAATAATTTTTAGAATCCAACAATATCTAAAAGAAGAACTATTTTATTAATACCTTAAACTAATCAGTCATGTTCTGTTTCAAGTTCAATCTGAGTACATATAGAAAATTCTCTATCCAATTGAAACAAAATACATTTCGATACGATACATGAACATGGAAGAATGACTAGTTCAAATGTGGAATGTCGGACGACTCGATAATATTTATCAATATACATGTTCCAACCAGAAACTTCTTCGATGGGCTTCATTAAAGAAGATAATATATCATTTGAATTAATATATCGTTTGAGAAATAAGAAGGGTTTTTGATGCACATAAAAGAAAAATAGAATTTGTCCATAATATAAAACTAATTGCATAGGATTTGAATCATCTTTCACGCATACATCATAACTGTTACAGTTTTGACGACGACTATATGATAAAGAATGATAAATGATCAAACCACGTTGATACCTAGAATAGTATTTTAAAGATGAATTCGGAAATTCACCAAGTATTTGGTTGTAAACTAAATGGAATTCTTGACGATAATTGTTCAAAGTATGATTATCAAAAAATTTATCTGACACCAATTGTTCATTCGTAAATAAGTGAGAAGAATATCGAACTTCTCTGGAACGTATCTGACGAAAAATACACCACCAAAACGAAATTTGTTCACTTAGAAGAGTAGAACCATGAGCTAGTTTTTCAAATTCATACAAAGAACTTTCAAAAGCGAACAAGCTATAAAAAGAATATGAAAACTTCAATTAGAACAAGCGTATATGTGAAGAGACGAATCCTTACCTGTGATATGCCAGTCCACCGTGTTGTTCTACTTGCTGCCACAAATGAATTAGTGCATGTACAGAGTACAGCTCTTTACATGGATCATAAATACGTGAGAAATGAGATAGATAAATATGTATAAATTTCGGCATATTTCTTATTTCATTAGGATCATCGAAATGCCGCAACACTCGGATATATATAAACAAAAGTATAAAATGAGACAAGTAAACACCAGGAAAACAATTTGGCATGTTTAAAAGTAACTTTACGAGTACTGGTAAAGCTGTATATATCATAAAAGTTCTTAATTCAGATGCCTTCCATTTAATATAATTGGAAAAATCAACTGGTCGTCGATTAAACGTATGTGGATATTTAATATCATCAAGACATTCATTAATAAAATTCAAGGCTGTTGGATTTTGTTTCAACACATTATGCCATTCTGATAGTAAATACCTAAAAAAATTACGTGGCGATAATTTAGGTGAAGAATAAGTATTAAGAATAACTGAATTACAACACATTTTATCTCATAGATGGTGTATAAATTCAAAGATACCGATATGATCAGTTTTTATAAAAAAAAAAACACGTGAAAAAAACACTTATGACTATGAGTATTTTTCAATTGTTAAAAATGACATTTAATCATATAGATTAACTACTAAAATAGTACCAAATAAATATTCTTCGTTCTTTTCATAAATTACTCACCGAAAATGAATTTCGAGTACCAAATGAAGGTAATCAAACGTTGATTGATCAGGTATTGATAAAACAGAAGATAATGGTGATATTCCAGCAACACCAAAAACATTCTTATTAACAGCACTAATCTGCTGTGCACATGTATTAATGTGTTGCTGAGTTCTTTGTTTCGGTGGTCTTTGAATGAAATCGATCCATTTGTATAATGTATGATTAGTACATGGTTGTGGACAACGTGATCCTTCAAATAGACACCTTGAGCATGCATAAAAACCGTTGTGGTTTATCAATTGATTGCACTTGGCCCGTGCTGGAAAGTCGCCGGTAGATAATTGAACGTTGACCATAAAATGAATTATTTCTAAAAAAAGTCAAAGAATTAAAATGTCCTTTAAGGATTATTGAAGCCATGATTTACTATTATTTATATATATATTTATACCGGTGGCAGCTAACAGTTTTATATTATCCACGACCTTGTTCAACAATAAAGAACTTGGTGGTGCCACTGGTCCATGCCATAAACCAAGTAATAGTATGTTATTGAGATCTTCACGTAATGGTGGAGGTATTTCTGCCAAAAACGAGATTACCTAAATAATACAAAATACTTTAAACAGAATAAGGTAAGATTAAAATTATTCACAGGCCAAATGCTTGTTCGTGTTCTTTTTGATTTTATGATTGGTTTGCCATCGGTACAAATCATTAAACTTAAACGAGGTTCAGTTGTATTAATTCGTTGATACCATTCACCTAAAAAATAAAAGGTTCTATGTTATATTCCTATGAAAATATATTCATATGTAACTTACCTCTGATGACATCAGCTGCAAATTGATTCTCGGGCACACTGTACCACTTAATTATATCTATGGTTGATTTAACAACTCTTTCTATTTCTTCATTGAGTGAGAATACACAAAATTCAGCATTTGCTTTTTGTTTTGAATTGCACATCGTGCATATGTCATGATACTTATCTAATTGCTTGAAGCAAAATGAACAAAAATAATATGTTTTGAATATAAATTTAACACCAAGCTGTTCCCATAGAGAATTACTAGTTTTTGGAATATCTGTTGTAAATGATTTTGTCGTTCTCAATAACGACAAAAGTGATGTTGTTGTTGTTTTATTTAATTTTGCTGTGTGAATAAAATCGATCAGTTGAGAGACAAAATGATGTTGATGAACGTTTTCATAATCAGAGGATAAATTCATATTAAAATCAGATTGATAAGAGTTGTCTTCAAATAACAGCGAATATATATCTTCATTCGGTTGAATATTATCATCGTAAATTCCATTATCTATCTCAAAAAAGTATTTAATATTGCCAAAGATAAAAATTAAATAGCTTCAAAGAAAACTTATTACCTTCTTCACGATCATCTTCTTTCGAATCAGTTTCATCAACATCGACTTCATCAACATCACCAACATCAACTTCATCAACATCAACTTCATCATCGTGCTGAAGGTCAATTTTGTTCATACAGTCTATATTAAAAAGTCACAACAATTGATGTTTCAGAAATAGACATTCAAAGAGCTAACGTATATTTAAAAAAAAAATACTTTTCAGACTTGAAGAAGATTTGGCAGATATTCGTT